ACCATACTGTATTCAGTGTCAGTCTGACCTGTCTATTAGATGCAGCAATGCTTCGGATACATTCAGTGCCTCGTTGACGCTGATGCTGGAACACTCGAGAGCGCCAATGCTGTTATCAATGAATCCGGCTTTTACGGAACATTCGTAGTGGTCCCAGTCGTCGGTGGGGACATGATCGTTGAGCGGCCTATCCAGACCATCAACCGTGGTAGGCTCAATGGGGTGCGTTATCCACTGTCAGCCAGTAATGATATAATTACTTGTAAATGAAACACTTTAGAACGCATTCCTTGCAGTTACGAATGCCTTCGAAGGCACTGTATTCGTTAATGCGAACTTTTCCGCACAAATGACGGCCACGGATTACGTTACGCAGCTCTTCCCTCTGTTCAATCAAGCGCAGATTGAGGAAACAGTGCAGCAGTATACGAATATCGGACTGAACACCGTCAACGATCAAGCAATTGCGATTATGGGAGAATGTAAGCTCGGTGTTTGATGTGGACACCACCATTGTTAATATGCAGCAGCTATCTTCATTTGTCCGACGTATCGCCTACTTTCGGCATTCCCTGGGCGGTCTCATAAGGTAATTCATTCGCTTCATCGACTTACCTCGGGTCTAGAACATTATCTGTAGGGCTTATTTGCTGTGCCACCGGGCGAGCACGGCAACGATGTTCTCTACTACTTCCCAGGAACCACGTGAGTACATCGCATCTTCGTCGCGATCGGTTGGTCAGATGCGACGACTGATGATCATTTCTTGTACAGCGGCCCGTCATTCAAAAATCCTCAGTTCTCTGCTTCTTTTTCAGGCTCGTTCCTCGGATTCGTCAAATTTGGGGATCCTAATATACACCCTGTTAATAATGATATCACTCCGGCCTGGAAAACGTTTAGTCAAGGAAACACGGAAATGCTCTTCAATAGGACTGAAGATTTCCAGCCGGATATTCGGCCCTTCACGACTGATCCGGCATTGTTGGAGCGATGCGAGTCAGTGCAAATACTTTTTTTCACTTGCTCTATAGATCGTTTAGGTTACTAATTGCTCCGCTGGGTTACAGATTCTGGAAGAGTGTTGCGCCCTCGGTTCTACAGTGATTCCTTGTGAATGATTCAAGTTTCCACTGGTTCGTCTGATATCCAGAGGAGAAAGCATTTGGTTTGTCTAGTCAATAGGTTGAAAGATAAATACTTAACACATACTGTGTCTATAAAACTCGGACAGCAAGAGCCCGACTGTGAACCTCCTTCACAATGGGCCTCCACTGAAGTGGATGCCTTAGGCATCGAATTGCAACAGGATGACGAGCAGATGCAGAGTGAATAATAATGTTGAAGATTGATTACATATCCGATAGTCCTTGGTATAATTTGTCCGCAAGTTCTGCAACTCAAAACGTAAAAACCGGCATAACTCGAAGCCCTGTCATGGTGTTGACAGAGGAACAATCTAAGGCTGTGTTATCTTCAACTAGCTCAACATAAAGGGAATTAAGTTCTGTTTTGCTTGTTAGAGAAAGGTGGCTATACATGACATGCAACTACAATTTTTTATCTTTTTATTTTCGAATACTGCTTGACGAAAAACACCTTTCCTTGGATCTGTGATGATCATATATATGAATTAACCGTCCGGATAAGTTTTACAGTTGGCTTCTACATGTGAATGACTGTCTAATGATTCTATCAAGAACCCGACCCAATCAATTTTTACTTCTAATTCAAGTGTTCGAGGCTAAATAGTGCACGTAACCTGATGTCTCGCAGCTACAGTTTTCTGTCGCAATCCATTCATTTGTTATTTTCGCTTTACCATTGTGGTCTAATATCTTTAAATCACGCTGTGTCTTTGGCCGTGTTTCATTCGGGAGAGCTATGATCGTTTTAGCGTTCCCATGATCGAAAACGACCTGAACTGCAGGTGGAAAAAGTGAACATTTTTTGAAGAACCATACAAGGTACTTCATTAACAAAGACCAGAAGATTAGGGCAACCAGCTGTGAATAATATATCCCAGGCGAGACGTAGTACGTACGCGTGGGTCTTCCAATGAATGGATTTCAGCTTCTAAACCTGGCGACGGATTTTTCGGGCCTATTGGTGAGCAGAATCTGGCATTTCCGTTAGATAGGGACTGTATGCAGAGTTCTCTTGAGAAGTCTGTCGTCCAGGGAGATACAATAGTCACTTTGTACTTATTATGCGTCTTTGTGGCAGAGGCTGACATGGTACAGGTTGATTTTTTTCGCTGCAGTCCACAATAAAGATTCAGTATTATATGAGCTGATTGAGATGTGCAAAGTTAATCGACATACCTTTGCTAAAAGGAAACTGCAGTCCTATTTTGCACCCCTTTGCATTACACGATTTCCGAGAGCAAACCTTGTGCTTGCCTTTGAGTCTTTGCATAATATGCACTATTATGTGCAGATAATGGTGTTTTGTCTGGACGACTGAGCATGAGACAAAGCAAGTGTATCCTTATCGGGTGTTATTTGTTGTGCTGCGAAATAATTCAACCGTTCAGAATGTTCAATCTGTCTTACCCTTGCCAAGCCTGAACTTGAATGAAGCGGAAAGTAGCTGATGCAAGCATCCGGCTTTATCAGTAACTCCATACCATGAAAACACTTGAAGAAGCAGTCTGATATATCACATACTAAAGCACACTCACTGCCATCACTGAGGATTCAGTGAGGAATGGTGTAGAGGAATATATATGAATGAGTGAAAGTCTCAGCCGTCACGGTAGTGACTGTCACGTGCCAGAACATCTTTTTAGGCACCGTTGTCTCATCACTCGCCTTGATGGGTTGCCTGCGAAGAAGTCAGAGCGCATCTTTCAGAGTGCATGGAGTGGCTGTGATGGTTACACAGCACCTAACTGCATCAGCACGGTGTCGTCACTACGGGCAGCTCTCTACACGTCTTGTAAGTTGCACTGGTACCCGTACATATCTCTTTATCCTCTGAGAGAAGTACTAAATCTTTCTCTTTCCTCTACATTAATATTATAAGAGCTAGGCTGGCCTGGCAACTGGCTGTATTGCCCTGCTTCATACGAGTCGAAATAGATCATGGATTCAACTGTTGGAATACCCGACGACGGCGAGCACGTACAGGAGCCACAAGCACAAACTCTCGAAGAAACGTATATCATGCTTCCGGGTCAATGTAAGTTTATTCGAAGATAATTTCGTTGATTGTTCGTTTGCTCAAGAGGTTTGCGGATTCAGCGGTACACGACACTCTACCAACGAGGGCGTCTTGCCAGACAGGGAAAGGTATGAAATAATGAAGTTCTAGATGAGTTTCTGACTTCATCTGCTATTTAGACGATGCATCCACGACTGAGTCAACGCGAGAGCAGGAAGAAGATTGCTCTAATACTAACCTATTCTCAGCGTTGGCTGCCACAGTAAGTGTTATTTTGTATTATGCCGGGTATTATTATTAAAGACGCATTCAGGCCTTATGTCAAGGCATTCTATCTGTGATGCTCCTCTCGTTCTTCAGGGCAATTTGCTCAGATTACCTCAAAGAAAATCCTGGGCCGTATTCGAGACACAACGTCGACAACATCGTGTCTCACGTTGTCTCTTACTCTTTGAGCTCTTTGCTCTTTGCAATATACACTGGTGTAGATTGCACAATTCTATCTGTGACAGGTGCGGGCAGACGCGCCATCCCGGAAGTTGCTTTTACTCTGCTTTCCGCTTGTGTAATTGAATTTATCACAGTGTACATGTTTTTGATCTGGTGGATGTCGTCAAAAGATTCCGTCATGTTACTCGATAAAATTGACACGACAGTTTTCTTGATAATCATTACCCTTTTCCTCCTCGTTTGGTTCCTTTATACCCGCATTTCCCCTTTCCTGCGATTGCGGAGAAGGTAGAGACTATAATTTTTGCGAACTCCGATATCCTGAATATTAATATACTGGAGTTCGTTCACAATATGTTAGTAATGTTACACCTAGGGCTCGGTCCCGTATCATATTATACGGATACGGCATTTTCGTATACGGTGCCGTACCGTATCCGTATAAAAAATTTGACTCAAAAATATGGCACATATTTTACAGGCCGTAACCGTATATAGTCTGTATAATACAGACCGTATACGTCTGTATACAATATACAGCTATTAAATGAAAGAAACTCTTGCTCTAAACATAATACTGAAGCTCTAATAAGTAGTATTCAATGTTCAGACACTTATACTAGCATTTACTAATATATTCAGCACTATTATTGTAAAAGTATGTGCAATCTGATATATATTCCGATATATACTATAATATAGGTACATCACATGACTCGACTTTATGACAAATATCACAGACTAAATTACATAACAAAATGTCAATAAGTCAAATTTTATACATTTCATGTAGATTAAGGCATAATATAGGTAGAATTCAATATTTCTATACTAAAGAGGTAATATCACAATGATGTAGCCCCTTACATTTCATGCTACACCTTGGTAAATGTAGCAACTACGCCGTATCCGTATATGGCGTATACGTTCCGTATACGGCCGTACCGTATCCGTATAGGTTTTCGGGTTCAGAACTACGGCACCGTATTATACGAGCCGTATCCGTATAAGGGTCATATTATACGGCCCGTATCCGTATACGGTACGGTACCGAGCCCTAGTTACACCTGTAAAAGAGATTATAACGTCTGCACTGCTGAAACTACAAGAATTCTTCCCATGGGTCATGAATAATACAGTTGGCATCTCCATAGTCTCGACATGCAGTGACATTGCATCTCGAACAAAGATGTGAATGTATGAATCAGTCGCTGCTACAGCGTTTCCGGAAAATGATGACAGTCACGTTGTTCTTTTTTTTCTTCACGACCTGCCTAATTTAGCAAGTGACTTTTGCAGCAACATTACATGTAGCTTGCCACCTAACATAAGACACTGTACTTGCCTTCATAATAGCTCTCAGACACTTTCTAGTACTATAGAGTTAAAATATTAGACATATAGAGCCAACAGGGCTGACTTAGAGTTTGCTAGCTTCTCAACAAGAGTGATACAACCATTCAAATGTGTGCCAACAGAATAAAGGCAATTCTGTCATTATTATAAGTGAAAATTGTATTTGAAAAGGTTTATCATGTTTTCAAGTGTATAAAAGGTGCATATGAAGCATAAAACACTGTGTCTCTGTCTAGACAGAAGGGTGGTTGAAGTCACCTGCCTAATGAGGCAGGTGGCTTGAAAAAAAAAAGAACGACGTGGCTGTCATCATTTTCCGGAACGGCTGTAACATCGCCTTCCGATGCACTAGCATCTCAAGATGGTAACCTGGAAGTTCCTTTCTCTGTGCCTCTAGTATATAAGTCTGGCAATCCCATGAGCTGAGCAAATATCATTTCCACTACTAAATCCTTGGTTACTCAACTTGGGAAGTAATTCAGGGCCGTACGTATGGTGCAGATGGGTAGGTAGAATTTTCACACCTCTGAGTACGCTGCGTCATTTGTTTCTTTAGAACGTATGGACCGTGTAAATGCTTTGGGAGTGGGTGACTTTGGCGCACAAAACATCACCCAACCTTCCGGTTTTTCGAGATGCCCCGAATGAACGATGGCCACAATTGTAAGTGGTTGCAAGCTAGCATGACCCCGAACTTCTATATACATTTCTTAAATGCAGCAACACGTCAGCAAGCTTCGTTTGATGTGCATCAGTTGCTGCAGCATGGTTGGTCTTTGAATAACTGTCGGAGATCTGGTCATTGATGTTAGCTTGTTTTGCACAGCTTCTTCTAATGTCTCTCTCCCGAGCGTCGGGTCTTCAACAGTCCAGGTACAGCACATTCAGTCTCCCAGCGAGATGTTCTCCGCGTTAGGCGTCATAGTGAGTGTATCTTCGACCCGATATTCTTTCGTAGTGCATAATCGATAAATAGGCATTCTTCCAAGCAACGCTCTCAGTAGCGCTATTCTCCTTGTTTAACGACGTATTTTCAGATTACCGGAATAATGATACCAGCGCCAATGCGAGCTTCGAAGAAGTTGTATCGCGAGTGTTCGCGCTGTCATTGGGTTCCGTCCTCCTCTCGGCCTATACTGGTGTCGCGTCAAGCATTCTTGTTGCAATAGACTGTAGTCGAGCGGGTGCCCCTGAAGTCGTCCTACCTCTAGTTTTCGGCGGCGTCACAGAAATAGCTGCAACACAGACTTTCCTGTTTTGGTGAACTTCACCAGAATACAATACGATGGCGAGTGGAGGAACTCGCGAGGTCAAGGTCTTCCTAATTCTTATCTCAGTATTTCTGCTCGTCTGGTTCTTCTATTTCAGAATTAATAATTTCTTTCAGTCACGTAAGAAGTGACCTTTCCATGATTGCTTCACCTTACAATGTAATTGTGGACTGCTGGCCATGTATTTGAATTTGAGATGTTTGATCACTGACTGAAGGTCGTCGTCAAGCGAGTCAATTGTTCATTGTAGCCCCTGGGAAATCGAGTCTATTGAGCTCATTACACATCAACCAGATAAGGAAATTTGTAAGACTAAAAGTCATCAGCGGCCATCTTCTGCCTTATTGTCCTCGACGTGTTCTGCATTTCCTCTGGCCCGCTTAAGCCGAAATTAACAGGTTCTGTCTATACACAATAAGACTGGAATGCGAGGAAAGGTGTTCTGGATCATGTTACCCTCGCTTCAAGGCCTTGCGCCAACGCTTTTGTTTCGCTGAACTTATAATGAAGTACCATTCTCTCTGTAATGCTACGTGCACGGGCTCCTCACTTCGTTGGCCTTGTCTCTTGCATTGCGACTGGACTGACTGGACTGTTGAGCTGTCCGACTACTTTTACAGCTTCAAGCTCATCTATTGGCTTAATATACAATGGTCACTGTCACTGGGAATGTACTTTTCTATCATGTACACCCAACGCCACCACCAACGGTCAATAACCTGACTTTGCGCCAAAAGGCACAGCTGCGCAGGTCAAATAACAAACTGACGAAGGTGCTTGGTGCAGCTCCTCAAGTGGTTGATGATTATCCGCGTACGCCCCTTTTCACTCCCACTGAAAATTTCACTCATCTCAATGTACTCACGCGTTATGGTATTTTCGACTAGTGAAAGTGTCTCGACCATTACCGCTTACTCCTACGAAGAAGCTACAGCCTTCACTCTCAATTTCTTCGGGAAAATCCTCACATAAAAAGTCGAGAAGCGCGGAAGAACGAGTTGATCCAGAGCTGTATCCGTTATCGTCCTCTCCTCGTCCGGCATCTCATGATGGTCTCCTCCGCCGCTCTTTGGATTCGAAGACGAAAAGCAGGACAGGGGCAAGAAGCGCGCAAGCATGCTCGCGATCATTCTCCTTGGAATGGGAATTGCTAACTGAGGATGATTCGTGTTCGCCGGTTCGCCCGAGACCCAGACCGCAGAAGGAGAACCAGGATGAGTCCCGTCCAGAGTCCTTCAGCCGCGACTCTCTGTGCGACTCACTATACGAGCCGAAGTTCGTCATCCCGTCAGCAACAAAGCTGCGCCGAGAGAAGATGGCACGCGTGTGCAAGCTGTTGGGTGAGGACGTGCCTGTCGATCTTGTCTTCCCAGTGGCCGACGACGAAGTCCTTTCCAAGCCTGAGGACAATGTTAACGTTGTTCCGGTTCCTGTGCTAGACATTTGTGCGCCACAAAAGGTCGAGACCGCACCGCTGCCACCTCCCAAACCGCGACGCAAGCCGGTGCCAAGGTTGTTTCCGGACGCCGAGCAGCCGCGCTGGCCCACATCGCACGCACAATATTGCACGCCACCGCTCCTCGAAACGATCGTCGAGCAAAGTCCACGTGCATCCTACTCCTCATCCACCTCGTCGTCCGCGGACAGTGCATACTCCGTTCTCACGACGACGACCTCCTCTTCGTACCGTTTCTCCTCTTCCGGATGCCTTTCTGACGAGTCTTCACCGGCTCCGTCTTCGGCGCACGAGAGCAGCATTGGTACTGCCGTAAGTGCGAGCGCGCCACTCATCTCACAATCTCAGCAGATCCGCGAAATGTCTTCAGGTACACAAGGACATGGACGCAGAGAATTTGCGATCTACGTTCCCTTTCGTCGACGGGTACACAAGGGAAGCTGCCAAGTAGAGTTTGAGAAAGACCCGGGCCAGGCATTCGATATGGTTCACAGCATGCTGGATTTGCGTGTATGATCAATGATCGCCTTCAGAACCATTTTTATCTGTTCTTTGTAATTGTCATTACTCCATCTTCCAATTGATCCCAATTCGGATACTCACATTTGTTGAATTCCTTTGCCCACAGTTAATCCTTAATATGCCAGACAGCGCTGGGTCGCCTATTATAGACTTAGTATAATCGCATTTTCTTTTCATCCTGTACAGTTGTTTTCTTGTACACCGCAGTTTTCATATCCGGGAAATACACCACAGAAGCTTTATCATCGTTTATTATTCTTTGCGACAACCATCCCCTGACGGTGTATAGGGGAAAAGAGTGTACATATATGCAAAGGAGATAAAAGAGAACGAGAGAGTGCGATACACGAGAGGCTAGACCAGACCACCAGAGTCTAAAGATACAAACGAGTGCTCGAAAGAAGAGAACGACAAAACTAGCAAAACCTACTTCATAGTCCCAAATGCAGGCGCATCAGCGCTACGCCAAACGTAACTCGAATACCAACTATTTTCAGCCGTCTCTAGCTTACGCAATTGACCATACCAGACAGAACAAAGACGAGAACGATAAGCATAATCCTAAGATGTGCTCGGCCTACGCCGTGAGCGCCGCGGATTCCCAAGATCATGAAGCTCGACATTCTCAAGCAACCAGGCCTGAGGAGGCTGCCACCCACACGCGCTGGTCCCAACGCTTTGAGTATGTGTCGAATCTTCCTCATATTCTCTACATTCATCTTCCCGCTCCCGCGAGTGCTGCAAATCGCTTCGCGGGTGCCCTGATAAAGAGGAGTGTGAGAACGGCCCAGATGTATGCGCATCCCGAATTTGACGAGGTAAGCTAGTGCCGTCGTTAAGGCCTGCCTGCTGATGCAGATTAGAATACGTTCTTGTGCGAACGTCCGTCGTTATGCTCCTGGTAACTTCCACAACAATCTGCCCAGGCACAGACATGTTCGAGTCTGTATGCTGCTTTCCTGAATCCGAGATTCCGTACATGCTCAGATTCTCCATCGCGTAAGCGTTCCCTGAAGCGCTAGCATCCACTGCCTTATCGTCATCGAACCAGCTACTTTCCACAGGTTCGCCAAGATTCCCAATGACAGTCGACGTGAGATGAAGTCCTTCCGGCGGGTGCTGTTGAGAAGGAAAGGAAACCACGGCTCTTGGTCGCATTGCTTGATTTCGCAGGTTCAGGATAAGACGGGAAACCATGAGACTCGTGATCAGTGTGCTAAAGCTCGCGTTGACTGCTTTTAGGTCCGGCTGAATAAATCAAGAGTCAGTTTTGCTCGGGTGGATGCAATTTCGGTGTCTTTCATACCGGAAGCACCTGATAAAGCGTCAGTGTACCTGAAGTTCGAAGAGTAATTACGAGGAAAACTTACAAGGAACAGCGTAACGGTGACGACGTTCGCCGCGAAGATGACGAGGAAGTAGATGATGCCTGCATGAATATGAATGGTTTGTGCCTTAGTCCAGCAACAGATCTGCTCACCGTCTCGCATCATTATCTTGATCAAAGGAATGGCAGAACCTGCTCGATGTCGGCAGTAGATGATGAACGTCCTTGTGATGGTTGCAAGGAAGATAATCGAGTCTAGCGTTCAGGAAACAAAATGATATCATTCGATTGAGAGTAACCCAAGACATAGCTCAACCCGACTGACCGAAGATGAGTTCTGCTACCCAGGTGTAGACAAAACGATCGTTCCTGTCGGCCATTCGCATCTCAGCTTTCGAAATAACTGAGCAAACTGGACTATTGACTTACGAATTGTCCCTTCCCGTAAGGATACAGCCAACAAGACCTTAAATCCGCAAATCAATTGAATGTAGACAATCTGGATACAGACAACTCACCAGGAGGCAAGTTAACACTTGTCCCATCAGTAAACGCCCACTGCAACCACATCTCAGAATCATTAGAAAGTCAACTCTTCAGAGACTCACAATCTTTACTGCCAATTCGGCAAGTAAAAGAATTGACACCGATATTAACACGAATACGCTTCCGCCATAGATAGAGTATAATCGAAGAGTAAAGATCACTGTAGACGAGGTTGATTACGATTCCGAATAGCGGCGCTCATTTATGTGTCAACGAACCTCCGATGGCTGCTGATGTGAATATCTTTAGGACTTCTGGATAAAGAACGTAACGATTGCAGGCAGATTTGCTCCAATCGGGATCGTGAAAAGCTGGTGTAGAAGCAGTGAATCTTATGAGTCATTGTAAAGATAACGACTCCACTCACAAACTATGACGACGACATAGCCTAATGGTGACAAGTAGCGATTCTAACAGTTAACAGTCGGGTGCACCATCAGCACAATATTCCTACCAGGGTCAATCTGGAATCTCAGCCATACCATAAACCATAATATCGTAGCAAAGGAGAACCGCTGTTTCCATATCTTTTCAACCTCGTCTCCAAACGTGATGAGTATGTCGTAGAATAGCATAACTGCCACGCATTTCAATAATTTTTTATGCTCAGCAAGAAAACGGGACTTACCACAACACGCCAGAGAGAACATCTTCGCTGCCATTCTTTTAACAAGAAAAAATCAACATGTTGAGACGAGACGACGAGGGGGGTTGAGATCGTCAACTCAAACGTACAGATGGTCAGCCTGGGTGGCTAGTGCAGCTACATCAGGAGCATTGGCATCCATAACAGCAGGCAGGCTGCACGCTCATGGGGCGTAAAGAGCAAGCGAATTGGCACAGGCAGCGGGCGCTGTGTTATAGGAAATCTCACTCCATCCGAAAACCATAGCATTATAAATGCGACTTGGAAGACTGTGGATATGGGCGTCTCCCGTCGAACTCTCCTCTTTTTTCTTCGAGAAGAGGCCCTTTTTTCTCATGACTTCTGTGGACGATCACGCTGCATGTGCGGCAAGAGAAAGGCATACGTTTCAGGATAAGATTTGGAACTGGGGCCCATCAAATCGGACCGAAAGGCGTTGCCGGAATGATCTGCTATATCTTACAATGGTTCCTGCGAGTGTGGGGAATAGGAAATGACTGAATTGAGAAGAAAATGCCGATACTTCGAAACACATGGATGGTTCTCACCAACAAAAATCATGTCGTACGCACATAACGTGCATTAGCGGCAATATGCAGATACTGCCGTTATCGGCGTCGTTATTATATTCCATTACATCGTTGATGCACAGAGCAAGTCTTGCGAGATTTGGGACGCAACAGACGGAGTGCACGTGATGACCATCAAAAATAGATGGCAACTTCTCTGCGTGCGGACTTTCCCATTAGGTTTGTTCATTTCTTTTGACGATATCGACACTGAATCGCCGATTAACAACACGGACGAAAGCGGCATAGGCTCTCCCTCTCTCATGCTGGAGTGCTACAACAGACACTGCCTTATGTGCAAGCGTTTGTCGAATAAAGGCTCTATCGAATGATCTGGAGGGAAATACCCCGAATTTTACACGTTCATGGCTTATGCACGCTGCCTAGACATATTGACTCATACTCCGACAGTGCCAAGGTGTGTTTTGGCTTTTTTCTTTCGAGGTGCAGCGCATTAGCATCTGATAAATAACCTTTCGAAACAGATGCCCATCTACCGCCGCATTTGCTTGACATTCTGCAGTTCGGCTGGCACACGCATCAAGCGTCAAAGTTCTTAATAGACGGGGGCCACAGACTGGTCTTATTTGCTTTACGAAGAACGGATTTGTGAACGTTGGTACTCAAGGGATCTGCTCTGGACTGTCTTCCAAATTATCTCCACCCCTAGCCGAGCTTTTGCACATCATATTGACGACGATCTCGTTTTCGGGGTTCATGCTGGCAAAGCTCTCACGCAACTCTATCTCACCAAACGAAGCTTATTTGTGCAATAAACATCCCAAATGCGAAGAAACTCTACACTAACCCAGCCTGTTTGGTCAGACCGCAGGCTCTAACCGACGAACGAACCGAATACTGGTGTGTACCTAGTCTCCTATTCAGCACATCGTTGTTCGATCCTGCGCGAAGCACCCAGGCTTGATGTGGAATACTCTACAACTCCATTCATACATTGTTGTATGTAGTGCCGGCGATACGGCGCAACTTAGCCGGAGATGAAGATTCTCTAATATCGTCTATGTCTTCTAGTGACTTTCCACCAATTTCATTTGCAACGTCGACGAAACAGTGTGCTCTCGGACTTCGGGAGAAGTTTGCTGCAAACATCTCAATATCGTGGCTAATATTCTTATGACGCATCTCAACAAGAGACAAAAGATTGTCCGCACTTCGAAAACATTCCCTGTATTCTCCGCACCATCATAACACATGATTTCTATGTCTTGCGGGGAGACTGAGGTGATAGAGCGGTAGCGGTAAATCTGACAGTCAAAATATGCACTGCCTTGCGCTCATAAGATGGATCTGCAACCGAATTTCGGTTCAAGCATTAAAGGAATGACTAAATGATGTACGCACAATTCTTGCTGCCTCGATGACTAAGTAGCCCAGTCTGATGCATGCCAAGGTAGACTACATACTCATATTTGATACGTCCTAGTTGACATGCGGAAAATCTCAACATCGGATACATGGAATTCAAAAAGCAATGAGTTACTTCTCACAGCTCTCACGGGACTACTACTTAAATCTAGCGAGCCAAGGCAATGCAGAAACTGGATTATGGCACTTTAACTGGGACTGCTGCTGCTCACATGGTGACCTTTTGGATCGTGTTTCAGCACGCCATGTTAATAAGCATTTTTAAAATCTTGTAAAGGTATTTCTTCTGTGTAGATGTGAGTGCAAAAAGCCCGTTAATTAAAGACAAAGATTGCATTTGTATTGACCATATGTCATTAGCTTCTATTAACTACTTTCACCACTAGAGACTCTCTAGCAATTATTTTAGTCCAAATCCAATGATTGACGTAGTTGTGTGTGCTTGTCAGAATCCCATCTGTCTATAATGTGCTGTGCCATTAATAAAACAGCTCCTTCAATCTCGGCACCAGCAGTATACCATAGTTCCTTTCCAGTGATTCTATTAGTTACTGACCATTGACCATATCAGACAAGATGTGAAAAGAAAAAGTAAAGTTACCCATACTAATGATTGCCGGTAAACCATTTTTATCTTCACCGATTCTAACATTCAGATTTTGGTTTTGTCCTTGCACAACTATTGGATGAAAGGTTCATTTATAGCATTACACTTACTATGTGCATGTGAGCAAGAAAAAAGAGCCAACGTACACTCCCGAAGTGTTTGAAGATTCATAGGATTAGATGGTATTCGGCGTCTCGTGGAAGTTGGCAGCTCTCGTTGCTCGTCTCTCCTGCTAGACCTGCTGGTAGTCATATTTGGACCTTAGAGTTCATTAATCGTAGTGAGATCTAGACGCTACAAACTAAGGTCGGACCTTAAGTATAACCCAGCTTGCTTTGTGCAAAACGCAATAGCAAAACGTGGCACCATGAAGCGAGCGGAATAGGACATTTGCAGCATCCGTTCCATTGCTTTGCAGCCTGAGCTTATCATATAGAGTCAATGCTCCACAACGCAAACAACTTCTTCTGTATAAGATTGCTTGGATATTACGTCCTTCTAGCACCAATGTATCACTGCAAAGTGTTTCTGACCTCTAAGTAACTTGAAAATTGTGCAGTAATAAATGACTAGCACCACAAATAGATTAGAAACGTTGCAGCTTTTTTTTCACATAGTTTAATACAAAGTCTAATGGACAGGCGTAATCCAGTCGCCCTTGTGCCGTTAAACGACCATCCTTGTCGATGAATAGCTAATTTCTCGCTCGTCATGGAGACGACACACGACCGCTGTGTAAGAGCCGCTTGAACTGTCATCACACGAGCATGTCTGAACGACTATGCGTGTCATGCTCCGGCAATTGCCATAGGGCGTATCTACACACAAACCATGAGGCTTGTCCTGCGCGAGGGGCAAAGGTAGGAGAACCCAATGAGGTATGGGTAATAACCCCGGCAGATTTCCTTTGCACCTTACGGAAACGTTTCGTTGCAACGGATTCGTACCTTGGACATTGCAAGCCTCGACCATGCGTGCCCTCAAGATGTAATGTAGCAAGACACCGTCAATCAGAAACCGACTCTTGACAACGTGTTCCGAAGGGTATCTGTCCAGTATGTCTCTATTGGCAGAAAATTTGTCGCGGACTCCGTGGTAGACCTTCATTAGGTCTACAAGGCAAGACGACACGTGTGAACGTATGTGCGAGACGAGTGCCAGCTGGAGAGGCCGTTGATAGGTCACGATTTCAGTTAGCGTCATCAATTCCCTGACTGCCAGTCATTCCTAGCGATAGCTGAAGCCCTTGGTAGAATTCTTTGAGCCGTCGCACTACACCCTATTGTCATTGTGACTCGACAGAGCTTCCATAACAAAATACTCACGTCTGAAGAAGGGCCAATAGGCCTTGTACATCATGTCTTGGATCCTCGTTCCTCGTACAGCGGCAGAGTGCGGGATCATCAAGGGGGTTTAAATGAAGTTCACGATGCAGGTCGAAGGAATGGATTGCGCGAAAACGAGGAAGAAGTACCACTACCAAATGTTCTGTATTTTCCAGGTCGAACATAGCCTCAGTTGACGGAGGCGATTGATCGAAACGGAGTGCATGTCTGACTACTTGTTCGAGGAAAATAGAAAGCACAGACGAAACTTCACGTATTGCTCTCCCAGGTAAGAAGTTCAGCACGCTGCACAAGTGACGTTTCGCTATGAACATATAACGAGGCTTGCTAACAGCAAATATACGATTTCATTTCTTACCCATATTAGTCCCGTAAAAGATCCAACTCACCAACAGTATCCAAGAAGCTCCTTTACGATATCCATATATTTGCGAGCAAGACCATAAGAGTCTTCGTCTCGTATGAAAGGTAGTTGCGAAATGTCGTCAATAATGTCATTCAGGGGAGTGTCCTCGATGGCAAGCAGTGCTTGTTTTGCGAGGAACGTCGTATCTTGATGTCTCCTGAGTTCCTCTTTCCAACGCACTGATCCATCACTAGATATGTACGATGATCGTATAGTTGTCCTCAAATTCAGAACGATCGATGGTGTGTTGAAGAATGTGCGTAAACGTGGTTGCGCTGTGATTAATTGAATGATTTGAAGCAGTGCTTGCAGTCTTGTCTGCGATACCTCCGCGCTGGAAAGGGATTGAGTTCCTCTGAGTACTAGAATATGGATATTGAAGCTCACGTTGCGTACGCTGCAAGCTTCTGGCAGTCTGAACGGAGCTTTGGCTCGTTTCCGTCGCTCACGGCCCAATTGATGACTCGCCGAAGGCATCCTGTATCGTCCGGTTTAACGTCTCTTCTAACCCACATGCCCCTAAACGTTACACTTCCAATCCTGGAAGCCACTGCGTCGGGTCCAAATCCACTTCGGTGTGCGAGGCGGCCGACAGAAGCCTCGAGAGCACGTCCCCATCGCGAGTATAAGAGTCCAAGTGTCCTTCCAGGACCAGGTAAGTCGGACGCAGTCAGGTTCGATGACGACTGTTGTGAGCAAAGTGTGTAGATTGTTTCGTTATCTTCGTGAGGAATCTCTTCACTATGATCCACCTCATGTTGTCGAAGGAAGAAGTCGTCAACGGGGAGAGACGAAGGCGAAAGAAATTGAGCCATCTCATTGGATCCGCTCATAGTCAACGACGAGAAGTCTAAGGAGTATGCAGTTCCGTCCAACGCAAGCTCTTATGAGCTGAGGTCGGCCCATATGGTCAGCGATGATGTAGGAAGTGTGTCTCTTGCAGCAACGATATGCCTCCTGTGTCCCTTAGAACAATCGAGTCGCTTAGCAGGAGAAGCTGATGGCTTATGAGAGCATTGCGGACGAACAATCGCACCCGAGTTACCACCTGCTCTGTTTTTAGAATACGGATCAGCATTTTCTCAATTCGGCGAGGAAGAGCCATGTATATACTTACTTCAAATGGAATTTGTAGACCTGTTTTGTATACAGCAGATTTCATCTACTAATTAGACTCAATACCAATGCATTGTCAACTTGTTCCTGTATCATATTGATGTGCTATCTCCCTTTACTCGAAATGCTACTGGCTTACATTGTGACCTGGATTTACGCAATATCTTACATGTATCATACTGTCAACACGAAAAATGCTAGGAAGATACTTGACATGCGGGTGAAATAAAATACATAAAAGTACAAATTGTCTATTCATTGCGCGAGTCACAACGCGTTTCACTCTCCAGAACCACAAGGTGAATTGCGAGGTGAATCTGTGTACACGTCTAATATTATATAGAGCAAAGGAACGACAACCCGATAGTGTACAGATAATGTCGCCCAAGAACTTCCTTTGCGTCTCACGAATACGTTTCGTTGTAACAGATTCGTACCATGGACATTGCGAGCCTTTTCCATACATGAGCGAAAGATGCAATGTAGCGAGGGAGCGAGCCGAAACCTCCCAAAACCTGACCGCTTGGCACTGTATTCTGACGAATATCATGTGAAGAATATTTGTCCACTGACAGTGGTGCCCTGTGTCTGTTGGCTAACAAGACTTCCGAGATTCTGTTGTGCAACCTTCGAAGCAAGACTGTAGTTGCGAGGAGTATCTATTGGACGGGTGACTGGCCGAACGTAGCCGTCGATAGTTCACAATTTCAGTTGATAGCATCAATTCTCTGACGGCCAATCAGCCCGGGCAATTGCTGAAGCCCGTGGTAGAATATTCTGAGCTGTCGGACTATGACTTATTGTTATTGAAATTCGAAAAAAAAATTGAGTTAAGAGATATTTACCTCTGGAGAAGAGCCACTAGACCTTGTATGTCATGCCTCGCACCCTCATTCCTCGTACAACGGCAGTGTTCTGGGTTGTCAAGGGATCTTAGATGAAGTTCACGGTACATGTCGAAGGAGTGGATTGCACGACAGCGAGGAAGAAGTACCACCTCTACCAAACGTTCTGTATTCTCGAGGTCGAACATAACCTCGGTAGATGGGGATGATTGATCGGAACTGAGTGCCTGCCTAACGAGTTGTTCGAGGAAGACAGAAAGTACGGACGAAACTTCGCATATTGCTCTCCAAGGCAAGAAGTTCAGCACGTTGCATAAGTGACGTTTAGCTATGAACGTATAGCGAGGCTTGCTAACGAACACGCATTTTAACGTTTATTCGCACTGGTTAGGCACAGAATGCAGCTCACCAACAATATCCAAGAAGCTTCTTCATAGAGTCCATGTATTTGCGAGTAAGCACTTCGGAATCTTCATCTCGTATAAAGGGCAGTTGCGAAATATCGTCAACAATTTCGTTCAGGGGATTGTCCTCGATAGCAAGTAGTGCTTGTTTTGCGAGAAACGTCGTATCTTGATGTCTCCTGAGTTCCTCTTCCCAGCGCGCTGATCCGTCACTGGATATGTATGATGATCGTGTATTGGTCCTCAGATTAAGAAGGATCGACGGTGTATTGAAGAATGTGCGTAAACGTGGCTGCGCTGTGATTAACTGGATGATCTGAAGCAGTGCTTGCAATCTTGTCTGTGATATCTCCGCGCTGAAAGGAATTGAATTCGCCTATATGCTAGGATACGAATATTAGAGCTCACGTTGCGTAAGTTGCAAGCTTCTGGCAGTCTGAACGGAGCTTTGCCTCGTTTCCGTCGTTTACGGTCCAGTTGATGACTCGCTGAACGCGTCCCGCTTCGTCTGGTATGTCATTTCTTTTAGCCCATGTACCCCTAAACGTTACACTTCCAATTCTGGAAGCTACTGCGTCGGGTCCAAATCCACTTCGGTGTGCGAGGCGGCCGACGGACGCCTCGAGAGCACGTCCCCATCGTGAGTATAGGAGTCCAAGTGTCCTTCCAGGACCAGGCAAGTCGGACGCAGTCAGGTTTGATGACGACTGTTGTGAGCAAAACGTGTAGATTGACTCGTTATCTTCGTGTAAGAGACCTTCTCTTTGGTCTGACGCATAAGGTCGGGGGAAGCTGTCAACAGGGGAGAACGACGGCGGAGGGGATTGGGACATCTCGTCAGAGATAGTCAACGGCGAGAAGGTTGGAGTATGTGATCCTGTCCAACGCAAACTCTTATGAACTGAAGCTGGACCATGTGGTCGGCGACGATGTGAGAAGTGTGTACCTTGTAGCAACGTAAATGACTCCTGAGTCTTCCAAAGTGATTGAGTCGCTTAGCGGGAGAAGTTGATGGCTCAATTTGACCTTTGCGGACAAAACGGTCGCATCGCTTGAGTTGGCCATTTGCCCTGCTTTAGAAGCTTTGTCCGCATTTACAAAATCGTAGAGGACTCGTCCTCGGACTATCACGAAAAACAAAACAAAACAATAAGATAACAAAGTTATATACCTGTGTGTAATACTGGACTTAGAAGAAGATGTCCCAAATCAGTGGGGGTCAGCATTAGGGGCTCTCAATTCTTTGGGGCGGTACACTGGGGAGAGCCCTGCGGCAGCAAAAAAGGAGCAGCCGAAGAGATAGATACCCAACCCATCCCTTGATGGAATTGAGGTCAATCAATGGGTCCATTCGTCGATCCATTACTCATGTACTTAGTTAATCAAAGCTTTGCTGTTTTCCTTGCAGTAATATTACCAGACTGCATGAGAAAAACAGCAAGCTGGTACCATGGTAGCCTCTGCTCCTTCCAGCCTGAAGAAATAAAGATTGCATTGTCTTTAATGAGTGAATTCAACGTCTTGAATGAATCACACTCCATCCTTGCATAGCTAATCTAACGTTTATTTTCATACTCTGATCGACTGCAAGAACTCAAGAGCTCTTGGACGCAATGGGTCGATCCTTGTACGAATACAGTAATTATTACATTTTTACCTTCGGCCGCCAGATCTCTAGCTTAATGACCCCTGGCACCACTACAACCTATGCTGTGTTGCTAAAGGCCCTCCCTAAAGAATTGAGAACCATTATTTCTCAATTGACGTGCAGGCACTTTTTTTCTGGTTGGAGCTTATATTTGCACCTTATATATGTTACAGTTCTCTACTCTCATACCTTCAGTTCTGAGGGTTCTGCACTCTTCTGTACTAGAACTTGGGACTTCTGTCCCTCAGAAGTACTGTCTATAAACTATATACATACTAACTCTTACTACTACCCCTCCTTACTTTATTATTCCATTCCTTTGACTACCCTTTCATTCCTTGTTCATTCTATAGTCTCTTACCCTTTGTCCATCCCTTCATTCTTTGTACCTTTATCTTTGACCTTTCTTTCTTTCATCCTTTGTAGCTTATTATTCTTAGTAGCTCATACTCTCTGAGTACTCTTGTGTAGTTTAGTATATATAGGTATACAAGATCAGACTAGTTCTATAGTTTTAATCTTGTCTACTCTAGATAGTCCTATACTCTTAAACTTACTCTATACACTCTACTCTTGTCTTACTCTCTCTCTCTCTGTCTGTTCTACAAGTTCTAACTATGTTCTAGTACTTACATTCTGTATTTCTATTGTGTAAGATAGTTGTAGCCTAGGTCCCCTTGTTAAGCCTTTAGAACCTCTCTATACTGTTACTAACATTAGATTAAGACTCCTTATTACTACCCTACAACTCTCTTATGTTTCAGGTATTAGTACTTACTATTGTGTTGATCTCTTTTCTTTGTTCTAACTCTTTTACATTTTTAAATTTTAAACTTTCTAAACCCTTTTAAACTTTTACTACTCTTCTTCTATTTATTACCCTTTTTAGTTTAGTACTGATTCCTTTATAGTATAAACATAAACCCTCTTACACTAACTACTACCCTTACTGTTCTACTAGATTAGTAGTTGTAAGTAGACCTAACTTAATACATACAGACCTTTATTTAAGAGACCTTTACTAACTATACACTTTTAGCCTTCTTAAAACCTGTTCTAATTGTTCTAAAAGTTGTAACCTGTTCTAGAAAGAAAGTGTATATAGCCTACCCTTTAGACTTTAATAAGTAGTACTTTAAGGACTTCTAGTATTAAGTTAAACTATATATAACTACTACTTTAACTAATTTATCCTTAGATCTTAATTGTGTCCTATTTGTCCTCTCCTTTATGAAGGAAGGTAACACAGCCACTTAGGCCTAGAACTAGATTAAAGACTATTAGATTAGAAGCCTAATCTAACTTTAGAATAATAAGTTGTATTTAGAATTTATAGGGTAGCTCTGTACTTCCTTTATTAATCTGAATAAGAAGTATAATGTGTAGAACAAACTTGTATCTTTATAACAGAGTAAACATTCTACTAATACTTTCTTCAGGAGTTTAATATTTTAGCCTAGAAGACAGGATTCATACTTAGGTTTAATAATGTTATTATCAGAATACTTGAAAAAGCTCTCTACCTAGAACTAGTTAATAAGATTCTTAGAATAATGTTAAAACTAATTACTTACACTAAGTAGAAGACACACACTATTTCCTTCAACTAAGCTACAGTTTGAATGTATTAAGTCTGTACAAAATACTTATACATATATCTGACTCTAACAGTTCTAAGCCCTCAGATTAATCTGTCTATAATTCACAATCAATCTGTCCTAATAAATATTAGAGAAACCTAAAAGTAAGGAGTATACTTTACTTGTAGAAAGTTAGAGTACTAAATTAAGGACTGTCTGTAGAAGTAATAGTATATCTGTTAAGTTATTAGAGTAATAATGAGTGACAAGCAGGATTTGTAGTAAGAAGCCTTTTCTACAAATCTAGAAGTTACCTTAGAACTTTTAGACTCTAACTATATACTCTAAGATTTTGTAAAGGCTTAATAGTAAATGTAACACTAAAGAGTTATGACTCAGATTTTTTAACAGCTACTTTTGATTCAATAGACACTGTAAGATTAGAAGTAAATAAAGTAAGAAAAGTAGAAAAAGTAGAAAAAGTAAATTAACAAAATTATTTATTAAAAAGAAAAAAGTTGAAAACAAAAGTAGATAGTTCTTTTATTTCTTCTGATTCTTTTAATTCTTCTCTTCATACTTTATCTGAGTCTAAATCTGTACAATCCAACCTACTACTTTTGTGTTCTAAAATCTTAGAATGTTTAGAATACTACTCAGCCCTATTTACTACTTAGTAGTTTGTCTATAGTATTAAGTAAGGATAGTCTTAGCTAAGTTTACAACTAAGGACATAGATCCATCCTTGTTGAAAGAGAGAGGTTAATAAAGAAATGTTAGTATATATACTTACTCTCTTAGATAACAAGACTATATAAGCTGTACATTCCTTTTAGAACAAGTAGTAATTTATTAGAGAACTGTTACAGTTCTCTACTCTTGTACCTTCAGTTCTAAGGGTTTTACACTCTTCTGTACTAGAACTCAGGACTTCTGTCCCTCAGGGGTACTGTCTATAAACTATATGTATACTGACTCTTACTACTACCCTTCCTTACTTTATTATTCTATTCCTTTAACCACCCCTTCATTCTTTGTTCATTCTATAGTCTCTTACCCTTTGTCCATCCCTTCATTCTTTGTACCTTTATCTTTAACATTCCTTTCTTTCATTCTTTGTGACTTATTATTCTTAAGTAGCTCATACTTCCTGAGTACTCTTGTATAGTTTAGTATATATAGGTGTACAAGATCAGACTAGTCTTATAGTCTTAATCTTGTCTACTCTAGGTAGTCCTGTACTCTTAGGCTTACTCTATATACTCTACTCTTGTCTTACTCTCTCTCTCTGCCTAATCTGTAAGTTCTGACTACATTCTAGTACTTGTGTTCTGTATTTCTGTTGTGTAGGATAGTTGTAGCCTAGGTCCCCTTACTAAGCCTTTAGGTTCCTTCTACACTGTTACTAACATTAGATTAAGACTACCTATTACTATCCTACAACTCTCCTACATTTTGAGCATTAGTACTTACTGTTGTGTCAATCTCTTTTCTTTGTCCTGACTCTTTTACATTTTTAAATTTTAAACTTTCTAAACCCTTTTAAACTTTTACCACCCTTCTTCTATTCATTACCCCTTTTAGTTTAGTACTGATTCCTTTGTAGTATAAACATAGACCCTCCTACACTAACTGTCACCCTTACTGTCCTACTAGATCAGTAGTTACAAGTAGAACTAGCTTAATATGTACAGACCTTTATCTAAGAGGCCTTTACCAACTATGTGCCCCTAGTCTCTTCAGAACCTGTTCTAATTGTTCTAGAAGTTACAACCTGTTCTAGAAAGAAAGTATATATAGCCTACCCTTTAGACTTTAATAGGTAGTACTTTAAGGACTTCTAGTACTAAGTCAAACTATACATAGCTACTACTTTAACTAATCTATTCTCAGATCTTAATTATGTCCTATTTGTCCTCTCCTTCATAAAGGAAGGTAACACAGCCACCTAGACTTAGAACTGGATTGAAGGCTATTAGATTAGAAGCCTGATCTGACTTCAGAACAATGAGTTGTATTCAGAATTCATAGGGCAGCTCTGTACTTCCTTCATCAATCTAAATAAGAAGTATAATGTGTAAAACAAGCTTGTATCTCTGTGACAGGACAAATGTTCTACTAATGCCTTCTTTTAGGAGTTTGATATTCTGGCCTAGAAGGCAGGATTTGTACTTAGGTTTAATAATGTCCTTATTAGAATACTTGAAAAAGCTCTTCACCTAGAACTAGTTAATAAGATTCTTAGAATAATGTTAGAACTAGTTACTTACACTAAGTAGAAGACACACACTATTTCCTTTGACTAAGCTGTAGCCTGAATGTGTTAAGTCTATATAGAATACTTACACATACATCTGACTCTAACAGTTCTGAACCCTTAAATTAATCTACTCATAATTTGTAATTAATCTGTTCTAATAGACATTAGAGAAGCTTAAAAGTAAGGAGTATACTTTACTTACAGAAAGTCAGAGTACTAAATTAAGGACTGTTTACAAAAGTGACAGTATATCTATTAGGTCATTAGAGTAATAACAAGTGACAAGCAGGATTTGTAGTAAGAAGCCTTTTCTACAAATCCAGAAGCTACCTTAGAACTCTCAGACTCTAACTATGTACTTTAGGATTTTATAAAGGCTTAACAGTGAATATAGTACTGAAGGGCTATGACTCAGATTTTTTAATAGTCACTTTTGATTCAATAAACACTGTAGGATTAGAAGTAAATAAAGTAGAAAAAGCAGAAAAAGTAGAAAAAATAAATTAACAAAATTATTTATTAGAAAGAAAAAAGTCAAAAACAAAAGTAGATAGTTCTCCTATTTCTCCTGATTCTTTTGATTCTTCTCTTTACACTTTATCCAAGTCTAAATCCATACAATCTGACCTACTACTTTTGTGTTCTAAGATCTTAGAATGTTTGAAACACTATCTAGCCCTGTTTACTACTCAGTAGTTTGTCTATAGTATTAAGTAGGGATAGTCTCAGCTGAGTTCACAACTGAGGACATAAGTCTGTCCTTGTTAAAAGAGAGAGGTTAATAAGGAAATGTTAGTACATATACTTACCCTTTTAGACAACAAGACTATATAAGCTGTACATTCCCTTCAGAACAAGTAGTAGTTCATCTGAGAATGTTCTGAGTACTAGCTCTAAGTCTCTATCCTCTTGGCTCCCTTCTTAGGATCCTCCCAGATCTAAACAATAGCTCTAGTAAACAGTAGATGTACTGGTTTGTGTATTAATAAGGCCTTTGTGTAGGAACACTACCTCCCTACTTGATATGTTCTACTTCCAATCCTAGTATACAATGTAGACAGAACCTTAAACTGGAATGGTTGGATTACTGAGTTTGTCTAACTACAGATGACCATTTAGGATTATAAGGAAAGTATTGAGTTCAGAGTCACCAACCTTAGAAAGACAAACATCTTTATCAGATTCAAATGACTTAAGGCTCACAACCCTACTATTGACTGGTTAGAGTAGACACTTGTGTTCAATTAGTGTCCTAAGTCTTATAGCTACCTTACACTACTGTTCTGAGTGGATACAAATGCTTCCAATGTTACTAACAGTTCTGATAAAGGTGACTAGTTGTTCTTCTTCAACTAGGATAGATATGTAGATACATATTCTAGTCAAGGTAGAACAGAGTCAATCTGAAGAATGTCTGAGACAGAACCAGTCTGAAACCCTCTTAGAACAACTCTACTCTAGAACACATGTAGATCCAGCCTGTCAGATTTTGTCTAAGAGTTCCCTAAAGTTTTTAGTAAAGAGGAATTCAACTAGCTTCCTAAACACTATCTCTAGGACTATACAATTGAATTGACTAAGAGTTTCCAACCTAAGGATTGTAAGGTCTACCTACTCAACAGAGACAAGTAGGAGGCACTTGACAAGTTCCTTCAGGAAAATCTTTAGAATGACTGGATCCAACCCTCAAAGTCCCTTATAGCCTCTCCTTTCTTCTTTGTCAAGAAGAAAAATAGGAAGCTCTACCTAGTCCAGGATTATTATTGTCTTAATAAGGGTACTGTCAAAAACAAGTACTCACTCCCTCTAATTCAGGAGCTTATTAATAAGACACATACATTTAGAGTTTTTACTAAGTTGGACATTTGATAGGGATACAATAATATTTAGATCTAAAACAGAGATGAGTGGAAGACTGTGTTCTAAACCAATTACAGATTGTACAAACTGACTGTAATGTTCTTTAGACTAACTAACTCACTCACAACATTCTAGTCATTCATGAATCACATCCTCACAAATCTGATTGACTCAGAGTATGTTAGTGTGTATCTGAACAACATTCTAATCTTCACCCAAACAGTTGAGTACTATTACTGACTGATCTAAGTAGTTCTACAACAGCTCTAAGATAATAAACTGTTCCTCTAAGAAGTAAAGTACTCTTTTGTACAGGAGTCAGTAGATTATCTAAGCTTTGTAATTGGTGGAGGAGAGGTCTGTATAGATCTAGCAAAGGTAACTGTAGTTTAGAACTGGTTACAACCTTAGAACCTGAAACAGGTCTAAGCATTCCTTAGGTTTGTAAACTACTACTAATACTTTATTCAAGGCTTTAGTACTATTGTCTGGCCCCTTCACAATCTTACTAGCAAAAATGTTCCTTAGTAATAGGAGGATCAGTAGTAGTCTGTGTTTGAGTCTCTAAAGTAGGCTATTACTAGCAAGCCTGTATTAGTAGTTCTAACAGTTGTAGACAAGTTCTGAGTTAAAGCCAACTCTTCCAACTTTACAAATAGAGTAGTACTGTTCTAGTTTATTGACAGAAAGTAGTGTCTGATAGTGTTCTGATCAGAATCCCTCTCTATAACAGAACAGAACTACTCTATCTATAACAAGGAACTCTTTACAATTGTCTGTTCCCTAGAGGAGTAGTATTAATATCTCCTTAGTACTGTACAGAAGTTTAAGATTTAGAGTAATCACCTTAATCTCTAGTACTTTCAGGCACCTTAGAAGCTCAACTACTGTCAAGCCTACTAGATGTTAGAACTGTAGAACTACAACTTTGTACTAACTTACAAACTTAGAACACAAATAACAAAAGCTGATTTACTCTTAAGACAAGTAGGTTATAAAAGGGGGGAGAATAATAACAAAAATCTTGTTCTCCTAGACAATTCCTGTTTTGTGTCTGAGACAATCTAAGAGATCCAACTCAAATCTAAGAATGTTGACTTTATTACTTACATACAGTAAGCTCTGAGACACACACAGGACTAAGTTATAGTAAAGTAGCTAGAGAAGCAGGCTAGGGATTAGGAGGAGGATAAGGATGGACAGGTTTACTAGAAAGGCTAACTGTACATTCTGAAGGATTAGAAGCTGTAGGAGAACATTATCTGAGCTTATTACAACAATCTGACTATAGGACATTCAGACTAACACAAAACACAGGAACTCATTACTTAGAACTACTAGTAGTCTAGAATGTAGAGGGAAATTCTAAAGTATGTAACTAGTTATAATATGTACTAACAGACTAAGGCCTACTAGACAAGGGTTTGGACTCCTCTACATCTGTATCAGATCCTGAATCACTCTTAGGAAGAAGTCTTAGTAGACCTGATTAGTAAGCTACCTAAGTCTTAGAGTTACAACACTATCTGTATAATTGTTAACTAATTCTCTAAGTAAGTCTATACAGTTCCAACCTGAACAGAACTCACTTCTAAAGGTATAACATACATTTATTAGGATCATGTCTTCTAGTTGTACAGACTCTCTCAGAAGCTCATTCATGATTACAAACCATAATTTGAGTTAAAATTCATGTAGAACTTGTATACACTTCTTAGAATTTAAGGGAACCCTTCTACTATATATTACTTACAGACTGACAGTCAAACTGAGTAAGTTAATCAGGAGATCAAGCTCTACCTCTAGATGTTTATTAATCATTAGTAATCAGATTGGTTTGAATAGCTAGCTCTAGCAGAATTTGTACACAATAACTAGTAACACTCTATAACAGGACAGTTCCTATTCTTTCTCAATTATGAGAGACATTCATACTAGGGGACAGTTCTGAACTGAAACAGTAGTTCTGAATCTGTAACAGACTTTGTAGAATAGATACACAGAACTAGGAAGAATACACAAGCTCTTTTAGAAAAGGTAGTATAAGTTATAAAGTAGAACTATGATTGGAAAAGGTCTGTGACTAAGGATTACCAGCCTAGTAACAAAGTTATACTAGAAGCTACTAACCTGACCACAGATTGCCTAATAAAGAAGTTGGACAACAAGTGCTTCAGACTCTTTGTTATTAAAAAGAAGGTTAGTACCTCTGTCTACAAACTCTAACTTCTAGCAACATGAAAGTGTATACACTTAGTGTTTAACAAGGTTCTACTGTCTCAGTACTATAATCCAGGTTTTCCTTTACAACAAAGACCCTTACTACCTCTACCAGAACTCATTAGTTCTAAACCAGAATATAAAGTAGAGTACATAGTAGATACTAAGCTAGTATACAGAAAGCTCAAGTTCCTTATCTACTAGAAGGGATACCTAGTTGAAGAATGTACTTAGGAACCTGCTGAGAATCTCACCCATACTACTAAAGTGATTCAAGACTTCTATTAACTTTATCTAGGTGCTCTACATCAACTCTGCCTTACAGATTTCCAAACCCTACCATTCTGACTTATACTTGAGCTACTAACTAAGCCTAATGTTTACTAATCAGGACAATTGGTTTTAGAGAGAGGGTAATGTTACAGTTCTCTACTCTTGTACCTTCAGTTCTAAGAGTTCTACACCCTTCTGTACTAGAACTCAGGACTTTCATCCCTTAGGGGTACTGTCTATAAACTATATGTGTACTGACTCTTACTACTACCCTTCCTTACTTTATCATTCCATTCCTTTGACCACCCCTTCATTCTTTGTTCATTCTATAGTCTCTTACCCTTTGTCCATCCCTTCATTCTTTGTACCTTTATCTTTGACATTCCTTTCTTTCATTCTTTATAGTTTATCATTCTTAAGTGACTCATACTCCCTGAGTACTCTTGTGTAGTTTAGTATATATAAGCATACAAGATCAGACTAGTTCTTGTTACAATTCTCTACTCCTGTACCTTCAGTTCTAAGGGTTCCACACCCTTCTATACTAGAACTCAGGACTTCTGTCCCTTGGGAGTACTGTCTATAGACTATATGTGTACTAACTCTTACTACTACCCTTCCTTACTTTATCATTCTATTCCTTTGACCACCCCTTTCTTTCATTGTTCATTCTATAGTCTCTTACCCTTTGTCTATCCCTTCATTCTTTGTACCTTTATCTTTGACCTCCCCTTTCTTTCATTCTTCATAACTTATCATTCTTAGTAGTTCATACTCTCTGAGTACTCTTGTATAGTTTAGTATATATAGGTGTACAAGATCAGACTGGTCTTATAGTCTTGATCTTGTCTACTCTAGGTAGTCCTGTACTCTTAGGCTTACTCTATATACTCTACTCTTGTCTCACTCTCTCTCTGCCTGTTCTGTAAGTTCTGACTACATTCTAGTGCTTGTATTCTGTATTTCTATTGTATAGGATAGTTGTAGCCTGGGTCCCCTTGCTGAGCCTTTAGGTCCCCTCTATACTGTTACTAACATCAGATTAAGACTACCTATTACTACCCTACAACTCTCCTACATTTCAAGCATTAGTACTTACTATTGTGTTAATCTCTTTTCTTTGTCCTGACCCTTTTACATTTTTAAATTTTAAACTTTCTAAACCCTTTTAAACTTTTGCCACCCTTCTTCTATTCATTACCCCTTTTAGTTTAGTGCTGATTCCTTTGTAGTATAAACATGGACCCTCTTACACTGACTACCACCTCTGTTGTCCTACTAGATTAGCAGTTACAAGTAGAACTAGCTTAATATGTGTAGACCTCTATCTAAGAGGCCTTTACTAACTACATGCCTTCAGCCCCTTTAGAACCTGTTCCAATTGTTCTGGAAGTTGTAACCTGTTCTAGAAAGAAAGTGTATGTAGTCTACCCTTTAGACTTTAATAGGTAGTACTTTAAGGACTTCTAGTACTAAGTCAAACTATATGTGACTACTACTTTGACTGATCTATCCTTAGATCTTAATCACATCCTATTTGTCCTCTCCTTCATGAAGGAAGGCAACACAGCCACCTGGGCCTAGAACTGGATCAAAGGCTATCAGATTAGAAGCCTAGTCTAACTTCAGAACAATAAGTTGTACTTGGAATTCATAGGGTAGCTCTATACTTCCTTCATTAATCTGAATGAGAAGTGTAATGTATAGAACAAGCTTGTGTCTCTGTAACAGAGCAAACATTCTACTAATACCTTCTTTCAGGAGTTTAATATCCTGGCCTGGAAGGTAGGATTCATACTTGGGTTTAATAATGTTCTTATCAGAATACTTGAAAAAGCTCTTTACTCAGAACTGGTTAATAAGATTCTTAGGATAATACTAGAACTGGTCACTTACACTGAGTAGAAGACACACACTATCTCCTTCAACTAAGCTGTAGCTTAGATGTGTCAAGTCTGTATAGAATACTTACACATGTGTCTAACTCTAACAGTTCTGAGCCCTCAGATTGATCTGCCTGTAATTCACAATCAATCTGTTCTGATAGATATTAGAGAAGCCTAAAAGTAAGGAGCATACTTTGCCTACAGAAAGTCAGGGCACTAGATTAAGGACTGTCTACAGAAGTAATAGTGAAGAGTTCTGATTTTAGTTACTATCAGATCTTCTTGATTTTATTAATTCTTTGGATTACATAATCACTTTCTTTATGTAGTTAGTTCTTTCCTATTTGGAATAGGAAGAGGAGAGTTTTGACCAGAGCCCACAATAACACTAGAGGGAACAAGCCCACCAAAAACTTGCCTCTCATTTTGGAGCCTACTACAAGGGGTGGTGCCTCTGTTCTAAAGTGTCTAGGTTGTTTTTGTCTTGATCTTGGCCTTGAGGGCCTTACTATACTTGTTTTGAATTGAACTGACTGTTTTAATGTATGAGAAGTACAATAATGTGGCTACTAAGAAGAGGATCAAGAGAAGTACTGTACTTCAACAGTAGTAAGCTTGAGGAACTTCTGCAGTTCTTTGAAGACATCAAGATGTTAGCTGCCAACTTCTAGAAGGACACTGAGTGGATGTGTAAGCAAGTGATGTACTATACAGTAACAAGCTATAGCAGTTTGTAGGCTACTGTGTCTGAGTTGAAGAAGAAAGGAGTGTACAATTAGAGCATTGTGAAAGAGGAGATCAGAAAGCTCTATTCAGAGCTGATTGATGGTCAACACTACACAAGAGCCAATATTATGTAACTAGTCAATGTGTAGAGTGAGAAGGAAATGACAGTGTAGACAGAGTTTGGCTACTACTGCTGCAAGTTCCAGGTGCAAGCAGAGTACTTGAAGGAGCAAGGGAAGATGTTAGTACACAAGTTAGACTGTGAGTTCTGGAGAGGGATCAGAGGGATACTGAGGACAAACCTGACACAATGACTGGAGATTCTCTATGTGGACAAGGATGTGAGCAAGCTGTTCAAATTCACTAATATAGTCAGGCTAGCAGACCATGTTCTTCTAGTAGGGCAGACAGAGGCAGGCTGAGACCAGACAGTGACATTGTCAAAGGAGAAGCTAGAGAAAGAAGTAGGAGACAAGTATGTAAAGATTGTAAGGAAGCTCAAAGAGTTACAAGCCTAGGTCAACAAAGTAAGCAAGTCCAGGAAGATGCTAATGAATCAAGTATGCAAAACTGACCAATCTACTAATTCTGTGAAATCTGACCTGAAGCACAAGAGGACCTACAACTTTTGCAGAAAGTAAGGACATTTTGTATGTGACTGTAGGACTGTGAGCAAGTACACTCAGAGGGGGAAGTGTATAAGGTTGGGGCAGAAGATTGTGTTAATGAGTAGGGTATTTGTGCTAGCCAGTGTAGAGGGAGCAATGTTGAAGGAGTGTATAGACTGATACTACAAAGACAAGCCTGTGTTCACAGTAGGCACAATTGATGAAGCAAAAGATAGGTTGAATGCAAGTGAGGGAGAAAAGCACAAAGCTGTTCTTGGAGCAGATTTGGATACAGAGGTGACAAGGTTGGAGAAATGCTTGAGGGATGTGAAGAGACAAAGAGAGGAGGCAAGGACCATGAAGGCTAACACAAAGCCAGTCAAAGTCAGACTGAAGCAAAGTGCTGAGTCAAGCAAGATCATCAAGCAGGTCTTAGACTGGATAATAGACAGTGTTGTTACATTGACACACTGTGAGTTGTTTGTAATAGCTCTAGAGCTTGAGTGCTAGTATGCAACTAAGCTTATAAGAATGACTCAGATGTATGACAAAATGCTGAACAAGGCTGGAAGTGGACCTACAAAGGCAGAGGAGGAAGAGACAAGTGAGGAAGTAAGGACTAACAGTAGAGAGAATCAGTACACAGGTACAAGCATTGTATGCAAGGATGACAAAGCACAGTCAAGCCTAGCAGTAGAGCTGAGAACAAGCAGATTGTGTAGGAAAGTAGTAGATTATGTCAGATTGAGTTGGATTCAAGCTAGAGAACAAGAACAAGAGCAGAGCAGAGGAGCAAGTGTGGCAAACAAGGCTGGAAGTGTGCCAGCAAGGACAAGGGAGAATAGTGTAATGGATGAGTAGTAGAGGCTGTTACAAAGGGTAGTAGCAAGCTAGATGAACAAGGTCAGAAGTGTATCTGTAAGGATCAAGTACTAAGACAATGAGAATCAGTCAAGCCTAGCAAGAATACTAAGCACAAGC